CGCAGGCACTGGCATGCAAACTTGTCCCAAATATAGAGTTTTGTTGATGCGTCGGTCGGATAGAGCAGCCTATGATTTGGGTCCCAAAAATGCGGTGGAGGAAAGTTTTTGATAGCGTAGAAGGTAAATGCACCATAAACGGTGAACACTTGGAGAAACACGTCGAAGGGAACGCGAGCCCAAAATAGATAAAAGTGTCGTCCCGCGAATACAAATAGTCTGCATAATGATATCCCAATGAGTGCAAGAGTTATTAGGAGGGGGTAGTTTTTGTATTTCCAACCAAGCTTAGCCTCGTGCCATAGCTCGGACATGTAGGGTGTCGGTTCAAGTGAGTGCTGGCGGGTGTACGTACGTGCCACTCTTCGGCATAAACGGGAAGGATCATTTACCTTCAGAATTTGAGATAGGGTTTTAGTCACAAATATGGGACACGTAAAATGGGATTTATTGAAAGTCGAGATACATAGAGAGGTATATGTTTCAAGTATAGCTTCGCCATTTCTCAGGTCCCTAGCTTAGTATCATATGCTCACATTCCTCTTTCCGGCCCGAGTCTATGACATCTCTTGGAGGCTTCTGAGGTTATTCAAATACGCGGGTTTACGAGGTTGTCCTCCTCCTGTCATTCTCTCATCTGATTTGCCGTACTCCTTTGCCCAAGTAAGCACCTCTAACACGAGGCGAATGATGGTTAGACGCTATATCTTCTGGTCCCCCTTTCCTGATATTTATTATCAGCATGCTGTCTTCCCTGGGCCAACATCGAGGTCCAGTTTACCCCATCTATGAGGTGAATTTTCTCATTCTAATTACCCTATAGTCTCTAACCACATTTTCAGCACCTTCGTCTTTAGCAATAACGAAGTAGGAGAGTCTACCGTCCGACAGGCTTTCGAGGACGCAGGCGCTGCATATCGCCGTTTCAAGCACACTAACAACCTGGAGGACCTAGAACAAGCGATCACACTACTACAAAATGCAATTGCCCTCAGTTCAAATGCCGATCCGGGATATCCTAGTATCCTCTCCAGTCTGGGAACATGTCTTCTGAGTCGTTTCAAACTCTTGGGATCTGTTGCTGATGTCGATGCTGCCGTTACCCAGAATCGACTTGCAGTCGATCTCACACCAGATCCCCACCCTAGAAAGCCTCTTTATCTGAATAATCTCGCCAACGCAGTTCATAGCCGCTTCCAATGCCTCGGAAATCTCAGTGACCTCCATGGTGCAATCATACAACAGCAAATGGCATTCGACCTCACACCAGATTCTCACCCTCAAAAGTCCTTGTATTCAAATAACCTTGGGAATTTTCTCAAGACCCGCTTTCAGCGCCTTGGAGATGTTTTTGACCTCGACAAGGCAATTTCAGCCCAGAGAATGGCAGCAAGCCTTACTCCGGACACTGACCCCGACAAGTCAGGATATTTGAATGATCTTGGAAGCTCTCTAGAGAGCCGCTTCCAACGACTTGGGAACCCCGCCGACCTTGATGATGCAGTTTCACAAGGACAAACGGCGGTCAATCTCACACCAGATCCTCATCCTCGCAAGCCCGAATATTTGAACAGTTTAGGAACCGCTCTCCACGCCCGTTTCCAACGATTCGGGAATGTGTCTGACCTCAACGATGCAATTTCCTACAAGCAACAGGATCTCCGGCTTGCTG